AAACCTTTCCTTTCATTTGTGACACTAGGTTATGGCTAGTGTAGGGCTGATTCGCATTTTCTCCAAGACTGCTCTGAGGCTGTAAACACCCTTTCCCTTGAAACTCCTCACCTTTTTAGATTCTCAGCATAAGTATCAAGGGCTCATCCTGAAGTAATGACTTCTAAGTTTTTGTTCCTACGTTTGCCCGCAGTAAAATTAGTTCTGATTATGGCAGGGGAAGCGGGTTTATCATGAACAAAATAGTTTCACTCCTAGCAGAATCCTAACTATGGTGCATAAGGAAACCTACTTCTCACTTCTGCAGAGTAAAATGATCCTTCTTGTAGCGAGAGGATGTGTGGCTGCCTGAATAGCGGTTACAGTGTGCAAACAGCGCATGCGCTAGCCGGGGTTGTGTCAGCATGTCCTTTCCTTCTGCTCTAAGTGCCAATTGAAACCAGTGGAATTTTGCATTTTTTGTTCTTCTGTCAAATTCATTCAGAATTATAAATAATACTCAACCAATTTCTCCTGCAGGTGTAGTTTTAGTCAATATCTTAGCTGGGATAAGAAAGAATAGGAGTCCTACGAGTAAGGCAACAGTTGAATCTGTAGCAAAACCGGGATACCTAAAAAAGGACAAATGTGTACATTAAAAAATGGCATCAAGAATTTGCCGGAACTAAACTCTAATCGACTACACTAATAGCACACAAGTACTAGTGGTAGTATAAGTTATTTATTCTGGATAATCTACTGTAAAATCTATGGGTTTCCAACTAAATAATTTTTGACTAAATAATTTAGTGGAACTAAAAATCTCAGACCATGTTTCCATTGTTTCCATATAATTATCTTTATTTTCAAAACCGTGTATACACATGCTAACATACTAGGCCAACGTGGCAAATTTCCCTTTCAGGTAAAGTGTACAGATCTGGTAAACAATTTCTCTTTGAATTGTTTCTTTTAATTATATTGGCAGAGAATCGAGGTTGAAACAATTGCTGAGATAGGCAAAGCCCCATATAACTGATTTATAACAAAATAGTATTGAATCGTGGCAATGCATGGATATTTCTAGAGTCCTCTAAAACTCTTCTGTAAATTGTGAAAAGGGATGGTCTGTTTTACTAAGATAAAACATCTGCTTCTGTGATTATAAGCCCAAGCCTTATCAGAAAAATGAAATCAACCCATTTAATGCTTTTACCCTATGAAACTCAATCAAGAATATTAATTATTAGAATGGCTTAGGAGATGCTCATAAGTGATCACTGTTCAAATTAAGAGTGATTCAGGAACAGATGGAGTCTTAGAATCACCAGGCCATTCCAGTAAATAAGACAGGTTCTCAGAAGCTTCAACAGTTAAGGAGCACCTGGAGACTAGATATGAATGAAGTAGGCATAAATTAGAACTCAGTTATAAAAGTCAGCAATATTTAATTAGAGAATCTTTGTAGGCTGAGAAGAAATCCTTCCATCCTATTATTTTGATGCCTTGTAACTCAGCAACGTCTACATATTATAGAAGCTCTCTACTCCTGTAATTTACTTTAAAAATCTAAATCATCAAGAAAACACATTACTTTATTCAATCTGACAATTTTATAAAGCAGTTTGTTTTCCCTAAATATAGATTTTCTTTATTTCATTGTTGAGTAAAAGCTACCTCAGTGTTATTTAGTCAATAAACTTAACTGATATTTATTATTTCATCGTTCCTTATTTCTTTTATTTTAGTTATAATTTTTTGTTGGAGTTTTGCCAAATTGGGTCAGGCATCATGTAATTTGATTTTGTTTTTATGAAAAGACACATTGGATTCAGTCCAGATTCAAACAGATGGAATGAAAACATTAGGTGGTAGCTATAAATCTTGATCTAGCATTCTAGCTTTGGAACTTCTAAATGCTTAAAAACTCTACATCACAAATATAGTCTACATAATATATACTTTAAATAAAATCAAGCCATAAATACTGAAATAACTTATTTTCAAATGGCTTTTAAAATTATTATTATTTTATCATTAGTTTATTTTTATTTTAGTTTTAATTCTTATGAACTAGGTTAGGGTGTCTCGATGTTACCAAATATTATGCTTATACAAATTTTATTTGCTTTGGCAAATTGCCATTAGATTTATATCTTCAAATCCTTTCCTCTGTCAAACCTTTGTTTGGTTTCTTATTGTTCTCTCTCAGAATTTTAGGTAACATGCACACCTGCCCATAGCAAATACACTTTGTTTTCTTGATACAAACTAAACATCTTCTGAATTACAGTTTTTTCCTGTAAGAAATAGAAATTAGAAATGGGTTATATTGAATTTCCTATTGGGATTTCTGCCAGATTTTTATTAACTATTGTTTGATTTTTTTAGTTTTTACACGTGTTTAGAGAAGACTTCTTTTGTAGGATGGTAGGGATAGGATTTTAAAAAGGAGAAAGAATTTTTTATGTTGGTATAGGCCCTCTTACAAAACTACATAATACCATCAAACAATTAAACAATAGTTTGCTTTGAATAACTTGCTTTGAATAATTGGAGGCTGTCTTTTGTTTAGACCTCTCAAAGGGAAAAGTTTTAGTCCTAAAGGAAACAAAAGTTTATAAAGCTGAAGTCTTTGACACATGCTACCACATTGCATTGCTGCATTTGTGTGCTACTATGCATTTGGACTCAGCCTTTGTACCTTTAAAAATTTTTGGTAATGCCTGTATAACCAGAAGGCTGTGATTCAAGATGAAGGAATTTCTCTGTCCCATTTGGGAAAAATACATTTGACTCAAATAATTTTGGTTTCTACCCCCAAATACATGGATTCTTGCTGGAGGATGTGAGACAGGAAGTCCGAATCAGAGACCTGCTGAATTTAGGAACCAGAGTACTTTAGTGAAAGACAGATTGAGAAAACAAATCTCAAAACTAAGGTATTTATAATGACATGTAGGATGGTCCTTAATTTAGAAAATTATGCTACAATCTTCCCCCTCATTTCACATGACTCAGCAGCAAGTGCTGGTATATAAGACACAGAGAGATTAAATTAACTCTGACCCAGCTTCTAACATTAGTTTGTAAAATCAGTCATTACTTATTCAGGAATTCCTTATCTATAAAACAGGCATGGGTTTATAGTGAACTAGGGCTAAATGGACATAAATAAGGGAAAAGACAGGATACCGAATCAAATAAATAATCCTCCATAGAAGTAAAAAAAATAATTAAATTGGCAAAAATCACAGCATATGAATTCATATCAGGTTATTAAGAAGCACTGAGTAGCATTTATTTCACATAATAAACACTTATATTGCACTCTATATAGGGAGAAGGGCAGCACTATTCTGCATGCTATCATTATCTCCATTTCATAGATGAAAAACTTGAGAGAGAAGTGTCCTGCCCAGAGTAAGTGGAAGAGCCAGGAATGGACCCCAAGTGGTACGGCTCCAAAGTTTATACTCCAAACCATCATCGAACATGGCTTTCCTGCAGATTATATTTCTAATTCCGTAAGGGTGGAAATAGCTTTGTCTAAAGGAGCCTGATTTTTAGTTACATGGTAGCTTGGTTAGCTTAACTGAAGCCTTACCTTATATTTCATTCCTTATCATTTTTTCCTATAAATATTAGAATTAAAAAAGTCTTTTAAATGGAAAGAAAGAACAACTCTCATACAATCTTTCAGAGTTATAGGAACCACTTCAAAGAAAAGCAGAGGATAAAACAGGAAGGGCTGACAAACATAACATGTAATGCTTACTCTGAAAAAAGTGCAGACCAACCAGAAACAAACCCAGGATCTCGGCTAAACCATAGCAAGGCCATTACAATGAAGAGCACCAAGGTCACAATTTCCTGAGACCTGCGGGAAAATTCCAATCCTTTCATTTACTTTCTCAATTAGGACATTTGTGGAAACTTCCTGAGCTGTTGTCGGGAGTAATCTTACCACAGCACTGAACACTAAAAACTGAATGTATCAATAATTTGAGAGGATCAATGCAGTTAGAAAAGGACTTTATTCTTCTATGGGTCTGTCAGCTTCTTGCCATTCCACTTGGTAAGTTTTATTTAGACAAAGAATATATTTTGTCATGTTGAGGTTAGCACTCACATTCACAAATTAGCACATTTGGGGCATTTATCAAGTATTATTAATAACATTACAGACAATGATGTGCTTACTTGCCCTCAAATAAATACTTGCAATATAAAGTGTGTGTGTGTGTGTGTGTGTGTGTGTGTGTGTGTGCGTGCGCACGCACACGCGCACGCACGCGTGCATGTGCATGAATCTTACCTTATTGGTCCAAGTTTTTGGTATTCTTGTTTAATCACCTCAGCACAAGCTTTTTGTTCCACTGTTTTGGTCTTGCCACATTTAAACATCTCCTTAAAACTGAAATAGAATATTTAAGCGAGTTAAGTGAAGGAGTCTCCCTTTATAGACTATATCTGTGTGAAAGCTTCATAAAATACAAATCTCCCTGTTAATAACACAAATTTCTGCTTTTTTGCCTACACCTCCATTTCCGTCTTTGAATGCCCTGTCCCCTCTTTTCTGTTTTTGCCTGGTTTGCTCAATTTTCAATGCTTAGTTTTTGTTCATGTTTTCCATGAGACCTTCCACTGATCTCTCCCTTTTTCAAGTCCTTTTGCACCATTAGAATTTTGCCATGGACCACTCATCTCTTATCTAACACTTTATTGTGTACCCGATTGTTACATATTTTTAATATCTTTATTATATATTGATTGTTAATTGTTGCACATGTATAAGTTTTATCTCACTAGTTAAATTATGTGAGGGCGGGAGCTGTGTCATAGATGTTTTCTTTGGTCCAATATCTCTAAACACTGGCATACATGGTGCATAGATGACTCACAACTCGATAGTACCTTCGTCACATTTACAACAGTTGGTTGTCAGGTCTATCAATTTTCACAAAATGTGCTAAACTCAAGTTATACCTTAGGGCAGGGAAGTCACATACACTGATCATGGACAAGTAGTCCAAACTAGATCTATTCTCAGAACTGAAACCAACGCTATTACATTTTTTTCTTCAAGTTTCTTTACTTCTTGTGTCCTAATAGCCTCCATTGAATAATTTTCCAACTTATTTCCAACAGTAGCTGCCAGTCTCTATTTTTTTAGCTGCTTATTTTAGTGACCCCTTTCCCTGGTGACTAATTTTTCTGTCTGGAAATCTAGGGTCTTCAAAACTTCGAACAGTTTTTTTTGTGAAGTACTGCTCTAGACCTAGATTTTTTAAAAAAATCCCTCCAGAGGAAGAAACAAATGGGGAAATGGCTAGATTCTTATGGATTATCTCTCGAAATGTCTATGAGTAGCTCAGTTAGACTACATTGTATGTAGATATAAAAAGCACCTCTAAGTGTATATCCAAAGGAATTGAAATCTGGATCTCAAAGAGATATCTGCATGCACATGGACGTTGAAGCATTATTCACAATAATTAAGACATAGAAACAACTTAAATGTCCATTGACAAATGGATAAAAAAAAAGTGATATATACAAGCAATGGAATACATTTAGCTATATAAAGGAATAAAATACTGATCATGCTACAGCATGCATGGACCTGGAGGACATTATGCTAAAGTGAAATAAGCCAGACACAGGAAAACAAATACTGCATGATCTTACTTATATGTGGAATCCAAAGTAGTTAAACACATAAAAACAGAATAAATTGGTGGTTGTCAGGGGCTAGGAGGAGAGGGAAATGGGGGCGGGGAGCATAGATCTTATGCTAATACTTAATCCACAAAAGGAAAAAAGAAATAAAGTAAATGAGGCAGGAGGAATCTTTTGGAGGTGATGGATAAGTTTATGGCGTTGCTATTGATGATAGTTTCATGGATGTGTACTTGTCACCAAACACATCAAGTTTTGGGTACATTAAATATCTACAGCTCTTTGCATGTCAATCATACCTCAATAAAGCAGTTTCAAAACAGAATGAAAGCAAGGACATTTTCTTCTGTAAAACTGCTTAGCTAAACATGAAAATTTATGAGGGAATAAATAGGCAGACTGAGGCGGTTTGAAAGGTAACTATCACACAAAGACACATTTAATTAATTAATTAATTGATTGATTAATTGTTTATTTATTCTGTAACTCTGTTACTCATACTTGCTTGGACTATTATTCTCTTTGAAGGAGCAGAGTTTATTCAGTTCTTAAGTCATCCATCCTACACATTCACAACTACTCTCGGGCACATACTCTGACCATGAATGTAATTAGATGGATGTTGATTTAAGATTGATGAGGTAATTTTTAATTTGTACAGTCTCGATTAAAATACTGACTAGTGGCAGTCTCAAAATTTTACCTCTTGTCATATAGTAAATGCTACTATTATAAGCAATGAATCCATGGCCTACCTTGAGAACCATATGTAGACTAGAAAAGTAAAGAAGGACATGAGTCTCCTTTGAAACTGTTTTCCATGCTAGAGACTGCATATGTATTTTGTCACTTGGGTTGGGGATCATAAATAGTTAAGTCAAAAGTCAAACTGGCCTTGCTGTAAACAAAGGTTAATACCTTCACAAAGGAACTGATGAAGCACATGATGATGCATCAGCCTCCTCATTTAAATAAGTTCTGTGGCACTGATAGATGAGCTTCTCTTCCCAAGTATGTTGGGGCCATTTATAACGTGTGAGTTAACTGTGTTAACAGCCACTGCACTAATCAGAATGTATGGTGGCCTGCCAGGGGAGTGGCTGATAATTCCTGTCTGTCAGTCTAAAACCTCTGGAGGTGAACACCCTGACAGACTGTAAAGGACACTGAAAAATTTGCTGGAGCATGAAGCTGTGCGGTGTCTAACCAATAGTGGACAGCAAGGAGACTGTTTAAACATGCCACTGACTGTGATTTATGGACGTTGCCTAATGTATGCACTTCACAGGATTTTTTTCCTCAGAGAGAACATATTTTCATATGTCTGCCCTTTATCTTCTTAATTTTTTCCTTTTAAAGTGGAGGGCCATTTCCAAATAATGAGAATGGTTGCAAATATATTTTTTAAAAAGTCATTGTATATTGCAAAAAAGAAGGAAATAGCTGTGGGTCTGTGAGAGGATTCTTCCTCCGTTGGTTGGGGTTTCCTGTCTCCTGCACCCTGCATTGCTACCTGTACGACTGAATAGACCCCCAAAGGCTTGGGTTTCCAGGAAGGGGCATTTAGTACACAGCTGGCCTCTCCCCACTGATGCCCACCTGCTGAAATCAGTACATTCCACA